GAAGGGGTCCGGAAAGGTACCCGGAGCTCGGGAAGGGGCCCCAGGTCTGTGGGGGATCTCAGGTGTTTAGGAGGGGATCTCGGGTGTTTGGGAAAGGATCTCGGGTGTTCAGGAAGGGGATCTCGGGTGTTCAGGAAGGGGATCTCGGGTGTTTAGGAGGGGATCTCGGGTGTTTGGGAAAGGATCTCGGGTGTTTGGGAAGGGGATCTCGGGTGTTTGGGAAGGGATCTCAGGTGTTTGGGAAGGGGATCTCGGGTGTTTAGGAAGGGGATCTCGGGTGTTTGGAAGGGGATCTCGGGTGTTTGGGAAGGGGATCTCAGGTGTTTGGGAAGGGGATCTCGGGTGTTTAGGAAGGGGATCTCAGGTGTTTGGGAAGGGATCTCGGGTGTTCAGGGAAGGTCTCCGGCAGTTCGGGAGGGGCCGCAGGTGCCCGGGGGTCCCGGCCGTGCACGGAGGATCCGGGCGGGGCTGCGGGGACTCACCGGCGGCGCTGAGGAGGAGGAAGAGGCCGAAGGGCGCCATGGCGTCGGGCGCTGTAGGGTCACCGCCGGCTCCGCCGCCTTATGAAGGGCCGGCTCGGGCGTGGGGCCACATCCCGCGGGGCTGAGTCACAGCCTGACGTCGCGGCGGGGCCGGGAGGGGAGCCGGGGGGGAATGGGGGGCTGCGCTGGGTCCCACAGCCCCAAACAGGAGCGGGATCGCAACCCCAACCCCAGCCCCGGGGGGGGCTCTGCCATGGCCCCGCGCCCACCCTGGTGGTCCCTGTCCCCTCCCTGGTGGCTCCAGACCCCCCCTCTGGTGGCCCCAGGSCCCCCCCGACCCTGCGTCACTGCAGGGGGAAGCGGTCAGACCGCATTTTTGTGGGTTTTGCCCCGTTTTGGGGCCCCCGCCCACTGAGTCACCCCCGGCGATCGGGGGGGCTGAAGGGCCACCTACGGAGGGACCCCCGGCCGGGGGGGTTCGCTCAGCTCGGGTCCCCAAATGTCACAGCCCCGGTCACAGCGGGGTCCCGGGGCGGGAGGGGTCCGGTCCTATCCCGGGATAACCAAACCCCGCCCGGGCTGAGCCCCCTCCCCGGGCAGGTGCTGGGGGGGAACGGCCCCATTTCCCCCTCCCCGCACCCCGATTGCCCAAGCGCGTCTGCGGCTCCGTGACTCGGGATTTGCGCAATTCCCCCACTTTCCCCCAAACGTGGGTGGGGGGAAATCCCGCCGGGAAGCACCCAGAAGTGCCCGGGGGAACGCGGGAGGGGGAAACTGGGATCGGAAACCTGGGAATCAAAAACTGGGAATGGAAAACTGGGAATGGAAACCTGGGAATGGAAACCTGGGATCGGAAACCTGGGAACTGAAAACTGGGATCGGAAACCTGGGAACGGAAACCTGGGATCGGGAAACTGGGAATGGAAATCTGGGAATGGAAACCTGGGATCGGAAACCTGGGAACCGAAAACTGGGAACAGAAATCTGGGAACGAGATCCCAGAATCGGAGCCGGGAACGGAAACCTGGGAATGGAAACCTGGGAATGGAAACCTTGGAATGAGATCCTGGGAATCAGAACCCGGGAATTGGAACCGGGATCGGGTGGGGTGTCCAGGTGTTTGGGGGGTCCCCAGGGTGCTGCCCCCCTCCCTGAGCCCCCCGGCACCGAAGGGGTCTCAGCTGCCACCACACCCAGCGTTTCCCAGCAGTTTATTGAGTTTGGGGGTCCCGGGGGGGGGGTCGGGACCCCCGGGAATGGGGYGGGGGKGTCAGAATCGCTGCTCGGCGTCGGGGACGCGGCCGTCCCGCAGCTCCCGCAGCCGCTGCAGCACCCGGGGCAGCTCCAGCTCCCCGAGCTGCCGGTTCTCCCGGGTCCGGACGCTGACGGTGCCGCGATCCCGCTCCCGGCGCCCCACAACTGCGGGGGCACGGCCGTCGGGGGGGGAACGGAGCCCCTGAGCCCCCCAAAACAGAG